CTCTCGCCTGCATTTCGCGCACTCGACACGCACGATCTCCGCAGAGGGTTGCACGCGGACCGCACCAATCGCACTCTCGCCTGCATTTCGCGCACTCGACACGCACGATCTCCGCAGAGGGTTGCACTTTCGGTTGACGCTGTTCGTCCCGCCCTCCGCCTTTAAGAGAGAATTTATAAAGTGGGGAAATGTTTTTTCATTAGGACATCTCCCGTGCTAGTTTTCCATACTCACACTTGCCTACTCATTGCATGCTTGCATACTCATTGCATGCTTGCATACCCATCACTTGCATACTTACACTTGCATACTTTGACACTTTGACACTTGCATACTTTGCACTTGGATGCTTTCGCTCTTCCACTTACACTGGGGTACGTATAGCGTTCATGTTGTAGTGCAAGTGTGGTGGAAGTGTCAGTGTGTAGGTGTAAGTGTCGAAGTGTCAGTGTTCAAGGGATTTTCCGGAAGAACCCTTCGCAATGCTTTCGGGAAAAAGTTTCATGTGGATGATAGATTTGTTGAACTACTGTCTCGCTAAGATGTTTGCGCATCTTCTATACGATGCAGAGAAGACACGTATCTTGGCCCAGGTGGTTACTAGTAGTAACTATTTGTTGACGAGCTTCCTCACGGCGCCTGGAAATTGGGGGTCGGCGGCACCAGGGCATTAGCCGTTAGCCCTTTCTATTATACACAGGCAGTACATTGCCTTGCAGCCAGGTTCTCGATGAAGGTCACAGCTACATCACGGTATTCACCAGGCAGCCTTGCACGAACGATGCCGTCGTGAGTTGGTTCCAGCTGTTCCCAGCTGTGCTCCCCACAACAACGAGAAAAGGGCTGCAAAGGCTGGCCAACCTGAGAAGTGCATTCACGCCCCTGACATAATATGGATATTCAATGCTTCATGCTTCTTGAATTTTTGCAAGCTGGTAGCCTGAAAGCACCTTCTCCGAAATATCAGGCTGCGATCCTGCAACAGGGCAATTAGATCACGGTACATTCACTTCCTGCAGTGCAGCGCAGGATCCTTTGGCCAAACATTCGTACAGGAGCAGCAATGCTTGCACAGAAGGATCCTGAAATTTCGGCTCAGTCAGATCCCCTGAAATCCAACAAGCTGTTAAAACGTTAAAACAAAGGTCAAATTCAAGCCTCCATGTCCTGTTGCGTCACAATCGCTCCCTCAGAGCCAGCTGCCGGTGGGTTGGCACTAGTCAACTCAAACCACCTGCACTGTATTCTAACCCAATCCGAAATTTTGACTCCCTTACAACTACAGGTTTGGCAACTGCAACTACAAAACAAAAACAAAGAATAAGGATCAAACATACTTAGACTCAAATGAATCCTGAGCTCCAACGTCCAAAGCCTCGCTTTCCCCGCCTCTGACTTGCCAAGTTTTGCCGCTTCCACAAACTTCAGAAGAACTCCATCCTTGTGAAGCGGGCTGTGCCAGTACTTGTGCACGCGTCAGGGAACATGTGGTACTATATGGCAGTTTGGCTGCTGGCGCAAGCATCCGGAGCCAGAAGCCGAGACCTCAGAATCGAACAAAGCAGCAGCAGCAGCAGCAGCAGCAGCAGCAAACAAAAACTGGATGAGGTAGCGCTAAAAAGGACTTGAGGCAGGCAAAAACTGGAAACAGGCAAACATATAGTCTAAAAAACATTACTTACTTCGAGTGATCCCCACCATGAAACTCTATTCTGCGCGACGGCTATACAGCTTCAACATCGCCCAGGAACGGTCTATCTTGCAAATTTGCAGGCACTCGATCTAGCATATCTCTTAAGCACCCAGCCTCCACAAGCGCAAACTGCCATACACATCTCACAGCGACACTAGCGTGCACCTCTTCCTATACTTGATTTAAGAACCCCGATAGCTCTCGCTATCTGGGGAACAACCTATTATACAAATTGAACATGCGACCTAAGCAGTCTCACAATGACTTGTCTGCATTCAACGGCGTCGTACACCTGTCACTGACCATCAGGATGTTTGCAAGACTCCATGTCCTTTATCGAAGCACGAAGCCACTAGATTTTGGCTTTGCACTTACACTTATACTGACTTATACTCATGGGGGCCCTACAGCAAACACAGCAATTGAACACCCTGACTTTGCCTTCTCAAGTAGCACCGGCGACATGAGCGCCAAACACTGCCAAAGTATGCGACCACAAGCCCATACTGCAGCCATCCTGCGCTCTCAGAGGCACATTACAATTCTAGGCATTGTTGCGTTGAATCCTCCAGTGCTGCGCTGGTCTCCCCTCTGCACAACTTCGCCTGGCACCAGTCAGTCTTTGATTGCTGCAAGATGGGTCTGCTTCTGAGCTCGTGACACAAAATTTTCGAAGATCGCTTGTCTCTCTATCGCGCCGCATCGCTTGCGCTCGTCTTGCGAGGACCTGCAACAAGCACCGTTTTTCTCATCTCTTGATAAGCAAGCACATACTGAAGCTACTCGCAGCAGGAACCGAAGACACCAAAAATTATTCTGAGACAAGGCTTCAGCTTCATCGCTTTGGCTCTGGGGATGTTGCAGGGGAAAAGTGCTGCCAGAATTCGCTGGACTGCACATCACCTGGGAGCATACTACAGTCCAAAAGGAGCCAATCTGTGAACGACTGTAAACGGGAAATTTTGGCACGCCAGATTGTCCTTCTGTACACGAGAACATTGGGCACAAGGCCGTTTGCTCGCACCAGGCAGCAAAGAAAACGGCAGGCTGTCGCCTATAGAAGCAGTGTGCCCAACAAAAAGCAATGATGCACAAAGCTTACCTTAATTTCACTGCTCACGACTCACGCAACAATGTCGAATGAATGATCCAAGGACGCAGCTGCTGACTCAGGAAATGCAGCCGCTGATTCTAAAGTGCAGCACCTGCTTGCTAACGCTTGCTCTATCTATAATCTATCCCTTCTCAATCAAAGCATAGCAACTCCTCTTCAGGAATGTTTCTGGGAGCGGCACTGGGCATCACCATCATCAAGCCTCGTAGCCATTTTCTCCAAGTACTCAAGAAGTACCTCGCAGTGTTAGAAGTTAGTAGCCAAAGAATTCACAAGTAATAGTAGCGCTTGAAAATAAGCCGTGGTGTAACCAAGGCCTCGGTTGTGTGTCCATCCACTCCTCCAAAGGGTCCGGGGAAAGACTCCAAGTTCTGCATCCTAAGTTGCGACATCTACTTGCTACACACATCGTCACATCCGTTGGCAAGAAATTCTTGGAAGCTCGCCAAACCCCTGCATTTGACTTCAGTAAGTCCTGCAGCACAATCAAACATTCATAGAGTGCTTTTTGCCATGTATATCCGGTCCTGCACACTGTACTCCTTCGCATCCCCATTCAAACCCTGCACACATCAAAAATGCACCGGATGCATGGCAAGCTGCACGCCCTTCACTGCTGACCCCTGAGATTGCAACAGCTCGTAGCATCTTGCCATCAGCGCTGAAAGCAAGAACTCCTGCAAAGAACACGAGAAGCTTCGATTTGGCAAATCGTAAGGAGTTTGCTACCACCAGGAACTACTGCACCACAAATTATGGCTGTCCCTGAGGATAGTTCTATCCATCGGCCCGGATGGTCCTCTTGAGCTGGATGAAGTTGCTGGGCCTAGCATGGTAGTCTGTCAATAGGAAAGAAAGAATAGCGATGGCCTCCAACCTAAAAGCGATGGCCTCCAACCTAAAAGCGATGGCCTCCAACCTAGACTGGACTCTGATGATTTTGAAACTTCCTTCTTTGCCCACTATGAATCTCAAAAACATTGCATCCCAGTATTTCCTGCAATCAACCAGCTTGGTCATTCTCATTGCGATTGATTGGTTCATGATGTGGTGACATCCTTTGACTCTTTGCAAAGTCATTCCGATGCATGAGATCGGTGGGATGAGGGTTGCAAAGGATCCAAACCATCTAAACACCGTTGACATGGACTTGTGGGGGGCTTCAGAAAGCGTTGAGTGTAAGCTGTCTCTGGGATACTTCGGCTGGTTGTTCTGACAGTCGGCAAATATCAACACCAGCGCTGGCCGCTGCAATACTGCACTACTGGATACCCCCAATGAAACAGGAAGAATCTCCGATCCCAGCATTTGTCGGAACAAAGTTTCGAAGGATGTGGAGGGGATGGGATGAATCTCCAAAAGATGCCGTTTGGCCTAAAAGAGCAGGTGAGCTATGGTGAGTTGCAGTGAATGAATATGCATGAATACTATCAGAGCCAGCAAGCTCGTCGCTGGAAGACTCGCAAGAACCCTGGAGATGGCCTTGCGGCCCTGCAGGGGGGCTGAACCTCAGCGCATCTGGCTAACCAACCAACACAAGTACAAAGCAGAAAAGGATTGGCTGCAAACTGTGTGATGGACTGCGGCTTGCTTTCCACCAAAAGGCTGGATGCTGGACACGGTTGCTCCGCCTCAAATTGAGCTCGTTTACTTGCGAACAAGTGATCAAATGCGGTTCCACATCTCATTCTGCATCGTAGCAGCTATCGGCGCTGAAGCCATAGAAGCTTTGGAATCTGCAAAAATGTGTCTCTTCATTTTCCACCAAATCTGATCATTTAATCTTTCAATGTTGAGTCAGGATTTGGCTTTCCATGTTCACGCTTCAAGTTGCAATGCACGGCCTTCTGACTGTGCAGGAGGGCTGAACCTTAAACTCTGCGACGCAAGTGGCAACACTGCCCTGGGATTGACTGTGGACTGGCTCGAATGCTGTTGTTCACCAACAAAGGGCTGGACAACGGCTTGCTTTCTGCAAATGGGCTGGATGCTGGAGCCGATTGCCCAGCCTCAGCAATGACATCAGTGCTCAGTGGAGTAGCAAGGATCGTTCTAGAGTGCTTGCTATTTGTAGTTGAGCAGCTGGTAGCGACATGCCAGCCGGAGGCCCTCCAGTCATCCAGGCTGTTGAACCTGTTTGGGCTTGAAAATGGACAAGGTCCTCTGCCGAAACTGAGGCGACGTGTGTTCCCACCAGATCTGGTCCTGACATACCCGAAACAGTCATCGGAGGGGCTGATCAAGTCAGAGCTTTCCAGACAAACCCAACCATTCTGGCTATCCCAATCCCGTTCCCTTGACTTCGGTTACGGTTGTGGTTTCGTGAATGGTAGGGTAAGGACTAAGGACATTGGGAATGGTTGATACATTCACGCACGTCACCGATTAATAGTACGCCCATCGCATACCCGCGTTTGTTTGAATTTCATCGCTTTGGCATTCAGAGCACTCTGCCCCGAAAAGACGTTGCACCTTGTCCAGTTCCAATATGGAGGACATCCTGCTTTTTCAAGAAAACGCCCCAATGTTTAATCCTATCGTGAATGTCTCAAACTTGTTTCCCAAGCTACTCCAGAATTGGCTTTGAACCAAGACCAATCCTAATTCCAGGTGAAGATGGGAAAGCACACTAGACCTCCTTCTCTTGCAAGTCATGTACCAAGCACATGAAGTGGCCCGGTATGGCAAGGCCTTCTGACTGCGCAGGAGGGCTGAACCTCAAACTGTGCAACAGAAACAACAATAGAATCTAAGCAAATTGACTCTGAAAAAGCTCCAAGTACAGCAGTTCACCAATCAAGGGCTGGACAACAGCTTGCTTTCTGCAAATGGGCTGGATGCTGGAGCCGATTGCCCAGCC